AGAACTCAGCCCGGCGCCCAGGACAGGAGGGACGTTGGAGCCGGGCTCGCCGGCGCTGACGCTCCAGGCCCGGGGCGTCCCAGGCAGGACGCGGGTCGCGCCCTGAGCCCAGGCGCGCAGCTCGGGGGCCGGGCAAGGCTGTCCTCTTGGGGCACCTGCCTCGCGGAGGCTGGCCCCCTCCCGGGAGCGCTGCTCGCGAGCGACAGAATAAGTACCCCAATCCTCCTCTCCAGTCCAACACCCCGACCCCTAGTAACTACTGTAGATAGTTTGGAAACACCTTTAGAGAGGTTTCCCTGTGCGTTAACAAATACAAAGGTGAGTGTGTTTGTGCATAATGGTTATTTGTTCACTTTAGATAGTGGTGCAGTGAGAATACAGGCTTAATTTCTAGGGTAACCATAAAAAATAGAAACAGTATACGGAACTTTGCAAAGGATACGAACAAGCAGAGAAAACTAATGGAATAATTTAAAATAAACACAAAGCAAGGAAATAAAGAGAAAAAAGGAAACAGGACTGTAGGGGGAAATAGAAAACAAAAATAGGGTGGTAGATTTAAATCCATATAGCAATAATTGTGGACTAAGCGACCTAATTAAAAATATTAACGCTTCATATTGGATTTAAAACACACAACTATGCTCTGTTTACGAGATATCTAAAATGTAAGGAAACAATTTAAAACTCAAAGATGGAATAGGTATGCTAAGCAAATACTAATGAAAAGGCTGTTAGTATAGATATATTAATGTTAAACAAAAAAGACGAAGTCAAGAAATAATATGGTAGATAGAAAAAATTACTTCATAAAGATAAAAAGTTTCTATTTTATATGTTTGTTAGTAATACAGCTCCAAAAACAGAATGGAAAAACATAAAATTTTAAGTAGAAAAACCAACTGCCTTGTTAGGGAATTATCTTTTTTAGAAATTAACAGAAAAAAAAACTGGTAAAATATTTTAAACGATTTAGAAGACAGCTACAACAAAACTTAATCTAACAGGTCTATTTAGAATACCGCTTGCAATGCTTACAGGAATACATTTCCCCTCTTCCAAGAAGCCTATTGTCTTATACAAGAATCTTACCCTCTTTTGTTCCATAGTCACCCTGTTAAACTAACCAAATTCAAAACATGGAAGAAAAAAAAATGAACTCAGCATTTGTATCTTTCTTTTATAAAATTTTATTTTAAAAAAACAGCTCAAAAAACAAAAACAAAAAACAAAACAAAACAAAAAAAACAGCTCAGATAAAATATAAGTAAACTTAAGTGTTCCCAACCTCTAAATATAACTCACCCCCACAAAGCGAACATGTTTTTTTTTCACAAGTCATTGTAAACGTCCTAAGTAATCATTATGTGTGTTGTTTCTCTACTACAACCAAGTAGAAATTGCACTTACCAATTCCTGCAATTTATATTTTTCCCTTCAAAGCCATTTTTATTAGTGATGCTGACAGGTTTTATTTCTATTTGAAGTACACACTACAATGAATACTTTTTCAGACTATTAGAAAAAATGAGCAAAAACAAATTAAAGGTAAGACAAAACATTTATTTGTAACAGATTTTAAATCAAGGATAAAAACTGGCAGCTTGAAACTATGTTTTCGTTTTGGGTTTCTTTTTTTTCCAACTAAGTGTTCAGAATTTTTTCAAATTGTTATGCCTTTAGGTGGGCTTATATTTTCCAGTTTGTCACAGGTCCTCCCAGCCCTCTTATATAGCATCTAACATTCACATACTCATGCTACCTCCTTAGCTCAGTAGGCATTTGAGTTTGCTAATCCCTACTTCATGTGGATAAACCAAAAATAATAAATGAATAGTTTTTTCCTACTTGCAGAAAATGTTTTCCAAAATGACCTCTAAAATAGTAATGGACTATTTTTCAAGAAAACTAAATTTTTGGCACATGGACTTAAAAATATTTGGTTGGCCTTTTGTCAGTGACAGCCTCTTCTCAATGGGGGAAATAGAATGTGGTATCATGTCTTTAATGTATTTGACTAAGTTGTGTTCACAGCCACATTGAGTAACTTTTTATTACCAAATTATGCAGACTCTACACTTATATGATTATTTTCAATTGTATATTTGTAAATATAAACGAAAATACTAAAGTACTTAAAGGAAATGTTATTAAAAACTATGATATAACTTTCCAGACTTCACTTTAAAAAATATCAGAACACTTTAAGATACTTTACATATAATTTACGAAATATTATTTTCTTTATAAAAATGTGAAGTCTCATAGAATGACAGGGAATTCATACTCAATACCTAGGGTATTAAATATCCAAGACTTACTTTCTTTTCTTAACAAAGCTGACTTTTAGTGAGGTTAAAGATTTTCTATTTAATGCTTTGGGAAATAGCTGTGCAATACTTTAAATGAATGGAAGAATTTGGGAACTTGAAATGTTAAGCAGTTCCTATTCCTCCTGTCTTTTTTCATGTGAACACTACCTTAGAGATCATTTTTAAATTATCGTGCTTACTAATTGTTTGAATTTATTAGAACTCTTCTCAGCCAAAATAATAGTGAACTAATTGTGTTAATATTAACTGCTTTCCAGTCAGCCCCTAGTAGTTTCCTATTATGATGCTGTGAGTGTTTTTTTATTTTCTCAAATTCCCATGTTTACTCCTAGTCCAACTCTAGTTTGTTTTTATTTTATTTTCCTTTGTCTAAAAGGATAAGCAAACATTTTGCAAAGGGCATTGAGAGTAATGAATACAGGATGACCTCTTAAGGACTTTTCCTACTCCAACATTCCTTCAGCAAGTATTAAAATCTTGTTAGTTCGATATTGTTATGATGTTTTCTAATATGTATCCTTAAAATGAAAATTAGTTTAAATAGCAAATAATATTTAAAAAATTTTTTCTGAGATATAATGTAAGAGACATATAAAAAGTAGCACAACCTCCTGAGTTATTGTTTACAACCTGATTGAACACTGAAATTCTCTGGGGAGCATTTAAACTATGTGATGCCCAAACACATCACCCAGGAATTCTGATTTAATTGGTTTGGAGTGCATCCCAGACATGAGATTTTTTTTTTTTTTTAAATCCCCTGACGACTCCAAAGTACAAGCAATATTGAGAACCGCCAGTCTATCTGCAGATGATCAACTCTCCTTAACTTTGACTACACATTAGAATCAATGCGTGCTTTAAAAAATATAGCTTCTCAGACTACATCTAGACATTCAAATTGTCTAGGGTAGAATCCAGCACTGTTTCTGTTTGGTTGGTTGGTTGGTTTTTATTTTTACAGTGTCATGATTTTAATGTGAAGTCAATGTTAAGAATTATTACTGAAGAATCAAGATGTTAACATCATCGCAGCGTGGGAGAGGATATACTGTCATTGATTTTGCTTTACTGGTAAGCTATAACCCTTGCCTGATAGAGGAACTCAATGGCACAAATTTAGTTTTTTAACCAAAGTAAATTAACTTTGTTTTAAAAATTATTATTTGTAGTAACAGTAATTGTACTTCAGGGTATACTGGGGAAGTTGGAATTCTCGATATCCTGCCATTGACTGGTTTTAGATTTGACCCTCTTGCACTTTTGGGTCAAATTTGTCGTTGTGCTGTCGTCCCTGCGTCAGAATTCCCTCTCGCCCCGAGACGGCCCGCGTTGCCAGGCTGCCTGCACTGAAGGTGGCTCCGGAGGACTTCTCTGTGCTCCGCCGTCAAGAGGGATGTTTCCGAAACAAGGCGTGCAAAAGTATAAGAACGCCCCCTTTCGCACTGAAAACATGGCGAGAGGTTTAAAGAAATTTAATTATTGTTCATTATGCCGAACGCGCAGGCAGGAAAGTAAATACTTACGATCCATTCAGGGGCTCGGAAGAAGCTGGTCACGTGCAGGAAAAGGGGTGGAGTCACGTGCTGGAGGAGTTCCGGGGCGGGCGGTGCCTCGCGAGCCTCAGCGACCAGTCAAGTCTCGCGACAAAGTCTGACGCACGCGTGAGCCCTCGCTGCACTCCTGACCTCCAGGAGGCGGGGCGAGGATGCAGGGGTCACGTGACCTAACGGCCGCGGGGCCTGAGGCCAACGTTTGCTCTGCGGGAACCATGGAGAGTGCGGCGGTGGCGGACGAAGCCAAGCCCGACGTGGACACCGCGCAGGTGCTGCGGGACGTGGCCAACCGCCTGCGCGTCCATTCCATCCGGGCCACGAGTGCCTGCAGCTCCGGCCACCCCACGTCGTGCTGCAGCGCAGCCGAGATCGTGTCCGTGCTCTTCTTCCACACGATGAGGTACAAACAGGCAGAGCCCGAGCACCCCGACAACGACAGGTTCATCCTCTCCAAGGGCCACGCCGCGCCGGTCCTCTACGCTGCTTGGGCGGAGGTGGGCGACATCAGCGAGGCGGACTTGCTGAACTTGAGGACAGTTCACTCGGACTTGGAGGGACACCCCACCCCAAGACTGTCCTTCGTCGACGTGGCGACCGGATCGCTCGGGCAGGGCTTAGGTGCAGCGTGTGGGATGGCGTATACCGGCAAGTACTTTGACAAGGCCAGCTACCGGGTGTTCTGCCTCCTGGGGGACGGCGAGTCCTCGGAAGGCTCCGTCTGGGAGGCCCTGGCCTTTGCCTCCCACTACAGCTTGGACAACCTCGTGGCGGTCTTCGATGTGAACCGTCTGGGGCAGAGCGGCCCCACGCCCCTGGAGCACCGCACAGACACCTATCGGAAACGCTGCGAAGCCTTTGGGTGGAATACTTGCTTAGTGGATGGCCACGATGTGGAGGCCTTGTGCCAGGCGTTTTGGGAGGCCGCGCAAGTGAAGAACAAGCCCACGGCCGTCGTTGCAAAGACCTTCAAGGGCCGGGGTATTCCAAACGTTGAGGATGCAGAAAACTGGCATGGAAAGCCGATGCCGAAAGAAAGAGCAGATGCGATCATCAGATTAATCGAGAGTCAGATTCAGACCAAGAGGAACCTCATAGCGAAACCTCCCGTTGAAGACTCACCTCAAATCAGCGTCAGGAATATAAAGATGACCTCCCTGCCTGACTATAAACTTGGTGACAAGGTGGCTACTGATAAAGCATATGGTTTGGCTTTGGCTAAACTGGGCCATGCAAATAAAAGGGTTATTGTCCTGGATGGTGATACAAAGAACTCCACCTTTTCTGAACTATTCAAGAAAGAACACCCTGAGCGTTTTATCGAGTGTTTTATGGCTGAGCAAAACATGGTGAGTGTGGCGCTGGGCTGTGCCACACGGGGTCGAACCATTGCTTTTGTCAGTACCTTTGCTGCCTTTTTGACCCGAGCATTTGATCACATCAGGATGGGAGCCATATCTCAAACTAATATCAATCTTATTGGTTCCCACTGCGGGGTATCCACGGGTGAAGATGGACCCTCCCAGACGGCCCTGGAGGATCTAGCCATGTTCCGAAGCATTCCCAGTTGCACTGTTTTCTATCCAAGCGATGCCGTATCGACAGAGCATGCTGTTTATCTGGCTGCCAATACCAAAGGGATGTGCTTCATCCGGACCAGCCCACCAGAAACTGCAGTTATTTATACCCCACAAGAAAATTTTGAAATTGGGCAGGCCAAGGTCGTCCGCCACAGTGTCAATGACAAAGTCACAGTAATAGGAGCTGGAGTTACTCTGCATGAAGCCTTAGCAGCTGCAGACCATCTTTCTGAACAAGACATTTCTATCCGCATCATCGACCCATTCACCATTAAACCCCTGGATGCTGCCACCATCATCTCCAATGCAAAAGCTACGGGAGGTCGGGTTATCACAGTGGAGGATCACTACCGAGAAGGTGGCATTGGAGAAGCTGTATGTGCAGCTGTCTCTGGGGAGCCTGACATCCTTGTTCATCAGCTGGCAGTGTCAGGAATCCCTCAAAGTGGGAAACCTAGCGAATTGCTAGATATGTTTGGAATCAGTGCCAGACACATCGTAGAGGCTGTGAAATATACTTTAATGAATTAAGATAGCTGTGTTCTTTAAAAGTCAGCCTGTTGGCTTTGGTCTTAAAACGCTGTTAATATTTATATTACATTTGTGCTGGATGTTACAAAACCGTCATTTATATCATTGTGCTTCTTTGAAAAAGCATTTGACACCTTTCTTTATTGCTAATTCGGAAATTCAAGTTAACTACCTTTCTGTTAAACTGTGACTATACACACAAATGTTACTCTCATCTTTGAATCATTGAAGTAGGTTATACTTTTTAAGTAACAGAATAGTAAACAAAACAGCTACACCTAATACAAAGCTTTCTGATGTGACTATAAATGGGTTGGGAATCAACTTAGAGGTAATAGTTTCTTAAATGTTTGTAATTTCCTTGTAAGAAAATATGAGCTTAATTGTAGGCTTCAGTAGCCCAGGTTTTGAAGCAAATTTGAGGTTTCACATAATGCAGTCCTACCTGCAGCTTCCTAGATATTGTTTGACTGCAATTGCCTTGGGATTTCCTCAGAAGTTTGACCTCTTCTCTCCTCCATAGTTTAGAAGCTGTAGAGCAGCAGTGAAGGTTCTTATGATATACCACATTGTTTCCATAAAGAGATGAAAACATAACTAGTTCTAGTCTGCACACTACACTGTTGGGTGAGGTTTCAAAAATGTTTCATTTTCTCAGTGACCAGACCAGGTTACTAACTAGATTATATTCATCTACTGAGGATACTAAAATGAATGCAATAAAGAATTTTAAAACTTTAGCTTTACTTATTTTGTGCCTAGTATGTGTGATTTTGTTTCTCCCTAGAAAGAAGAAATTTCTATCTAGAAGCAGAAAGAGGCATGTATTTTAACAGTAATCTGGAAAAAATGTGAGCTGCAGATAAGTCACCAGAGAACAATGTGTGGACTGGAAAGCCATGTCTTAAGCAGACTCCTTATTATTAGGTGTGAGTACATAAATTGCATGGCTGGAATACAAGAAAAGAGTGTCTACCAGTCAGGTAAATTAAAGACTGACCCAAGGTTCAAAAGTAAATTTAAAATTAGTCTGTATCTGGTATATGAGGTAATTAGTTTCTTATTATATTGCCTTTGTTAAGTGCCCTCCTTAAGTTCTTTGGAGGCATAACCAGTTTGTCTCAGGAAATATTCTAAAGGTGTGGTAGAGACCGAAAAATACCTAAGAATTGGAGATATTAGAGCTTACACAGCCTGTTTTCTTTGTGCTGATTCTGTTTTCCTTGTTTGAAAATTGATTAAAAGATAAGTACTGTTTAATAAAATTTAAAAATTATTTTATAAAAATAGTTGCTATAGGATCATTGTACAAATTTGGAAAATTCAAATAAGTGAAAAAAATATTACCTCACTTATCTTACATGCACACAAAAAAATCGATTTAATTGTATTTTCTAGCATAAGACCTATAACTGTGGATCTTCCAATATAGTCATCCCAATCTAGTAACATAAATAAAATATTACATATGTCCATGAGTGGGGTGCTATTGAACAAGTCTCCATCCTTATTTTGCAAACGTTAGAGATAACATTGATTCAGACACAGCATAAAATAGATAAAACGCATAAGATTACTTGTCATAATTTGAGTATGAATACTGGGAAAGAGCTTCAGCTTTTATAGCTTGTGATATGTATGTAGGGTTCAAAATGATCTGTTTGCAACCAAACATGCATAAGTACACCCTTAGTAATGACAAGTCAGGTATGGCTTTTTTTTTTAATGACTAATAGAATCTCAGAGACAACCAAAAATACTTTTTGTGGGAAGGTTGGGAAGCCTTTAAGAATCCTGTAAAGGTTCTGTTTCATGAGGCATCAACCAGTGGCTATCAGCTCCAGAGAGAAGAAATAGGAGGTGAGACTTCTTATCTGAGTCTACAATTCTTCAAGTAATATGGAATCAATCCAATTTTGTTATATTGAATATTATCCAGCCCTAAATCCCTCAAAAGTTTCTTCTGAGAAGTGTTCACTTTAAAGTTGTCCTATTTATCATTGTTTTCTCACTCTAGTTAGCACTTCTTGTGTTATGTTTAAAAAATTTTACCTTCCCCAAGGTTATTAAAGATATTCCCTTGTGTTCTCTTCTGCAAACTTTATATTTTTATCTTTCACATAAAGATCTATGATTCATCTGGAAATATGTGTGGTGTGAGGTTGAGGGCGTCAATATGATTTTTGACAAGATTGTATAGCACCCTTTAAAAAAAATCCTTTCCCTCACTACACCAGCGTGTTATCTTATGTATCAGATGACTGTACATGCATGGATTTGTTTCTGTCCCATTGGCCTATTTGTTTATTTTTGTGCTCATGCTACACTGTCTTAATTAGCACTGCTTTTTTATAAATCCTAATAGTATTTTAAGTCTTCCATTTCCTCCACTCGTTTTCAAGATTGCTTCGCCTATTCTTGGTTCTTTGAATTTCCATATAAATTTTAGAAATAGGTTGTCAATTTTAAAAAATATATTAAATTGTATCTTGATACAATACATCTGGATTATATTCCCTTTTACTATTTCATTTAAAGAGATCACATTATTAAAAGTCTTTAGGACAGAGATCTCATTCAGGTAATTTTAGAAAGTTAGGTTCACAGTCTTCAAACAGAGGTAGATAAATTTGGGGGTGTTTGGGTACCCCTCAGGGAGGGAGTACATCCTGAAGACTTTCCAAGTCATATGTAGGCACCGAATATTTTTAATGGAATCTATTTCCAGTTCCTTAAATCCATGTGTTTGTTCCTAAATTGATCTGCCTGAGAATACCCCTGTGATTTTTTCCAATATCCTTTCATAATTGCCCCTCTTCTTTTCAGAACAAAGCCATACTTTTCACCCGTCCTTACTGTCGCCATTCATTGCTAGTTGTGAAATCTTTAGAATGTCAAACAAAGGAACGTTTTAAAATACTGATTCTGCCAAAGCCTCCTTTAATGAAGTCACCACGAACCAGCAATAAATCATGTGTCTTTCTTTGCCTTTCTGCTAATTTTGGTAAAGGTAAAGCCTGGAATATGAGGTATATTATAGATTTGAGTTGTGGCAATGATGACATTTTTGTTTACCAAGTTTTTTTTTTTTTTCTTCTATCCCTCAACTGTTGTCAAAGCATTGTTGCTTAGGGTCTCAAGAGAGCAAAGCAAAGAACAGAGTAAGAAATTCTGAAGATGGCAGCACTGTCTTTCACCCAGTCCACAAGTCCTGACAAGTCTCTGCCTTACCCATCTATGAGTTTTAGAATTGGAATATTCAAGATTTATGAGAAGCATTTTCAGTCTCCACATTAAGGAGAAGGTAAAGACTCTCACTGACGTGTCTCTAGCATGGAAATTATACTTCGCATGATTCCAAGGCAGAGGAAGTTAAAAGTTCCATGTTTATTTCTGATTAACCAATGGATTATTTAATTTTTTTTGTACTATTTATTTAGATTCACAGGAGACATGTTTTCCTTGACTTGTGACAAGATTCCTGTATTATGCACAGCCTTATATATTATTTCATTTGGGTGTATGACTCGATTTTGTTGTCACTGATAGACCATTTCTCTCCTTTTTTATCTTTGATATTCCTCATTATCTCTGATGGTGCATTTGCTATTATGTACTTACAAGATGTAGATTAACCTAACTTCAGTTTATTGTAGAGTGTCTTATCTGAGAATGGTGGTCATCAAATTGGGTGTGACGATCCATTTCAAGGAACAAATACTGATGCATTTGAGAGGCCAATGTCTACAAAGTCCTCCCAGGAAGACTGGCTTGGTATAGGCGGTAAGGAAGTTAAGGAACCTTAATAAATATAGAACCCTTGAGAAAAAATTTCATTCCAGTTTTTAGATACTGTGCTGAAAATTGCTGAAGAGAGTTCTTTGGACTAGGATTCCTACTTCCCAAATAGAAAATTATAGAGGCTTCTTAAACACATGGAATCATTGGACTACTGTCTCTCAAACACAGTTTACATACTCATGTCACTCTGACCCTTTTCTCTCTCTTCCACTTTCCTCCACAGTCACCACAACCAAAATATCTGAAATTGTACAATAAAAGCAGGACCTCTACCATATACATACTTGACTGAACTAGATACCACACTTTCCGTTATTGTGACAATGACTTCCCTCTGTTGTTTATGAAAGTAGTTCATGAGTTTCCAGTCAGGACACGTTGCTGGGTCCCACAAAGTTCAGATGCTTCTCCAGCACTGTTTCCCAACACAGTGTCATTACAGGTTGTTTGGCAATACTCTTTCCTAGATGTGGCTGGACTGAGTCCTTCTTTTCATTTTGTTTGCCAGGTGATTTCCAATAATTTCAACAGTGTTACTGCCTTTTCAAGGTTTACTTGTACCTCTTTCCTTTGCTTCCATCACTTCTCATGTTGTCTAGGACTTCGCTCCATCAACTATCCTCTTTTTTTGAAACCTTCAAGAGAGTAGATCCAGTAGCAAAAGGAAGGTGGAAGCCAGATAACAATAGGTAGGGGGTGGAGTAAGTGGTGAAAAAAATTAAGCCAGTGATTTAAGCAAGCTTTTTGAGATTTTTTTTTTTTTTTTATCACTAATAATACAGTACTTTAAAAGAAAATAGGTTTATGGGTTTTTAAGATTAGTGGAGGCAGAGGTATGGATCAGAATTAGAAATCAATGCAGAAGAAAAGCTATAAAGTTTTAAAGAAGAAGGCAGCAATATATTAAGAAGAAATGACTTTGAATTAAGAAAAAAATTAACTGCATAAAAGCTTAGCAGTAGTGAAAAGTGATAATGATATTTGAATTTAAAGAACAAAGCAGAAAGATAGCATTCATCTCAGATATATATGAGGCCAAATTATCCATTGAGAGCCTGTGACATACTGTATAGATTTATTCATGAACTATGGAATTTATACATGACTATTCTAAGAACTCAAAATGTCACCTATGTCAATGATGCCAGTCGTCTTCATTCTTGACCCTTCCCAGCTTTGCTCTTCGCAGTATATATTAAAATTCATCTCTTGTGAGTCAGTTAAAGACAAATAGCATATGATTTCACTTATATGTAGAATCTAATGAACAATATAAATGAGTCAACAGAAACAGACTCATAGATACAGAGAACAGAATAATGGTCGCAAGAGAGATAGGGGGACTGAGCGAAAAAGGTGAAGGGATTGAGAAATACAGATTGGTACAAAACAGAAGCAGGGATATAAAGTACAGCATAGGGAATATGGTCAATAATACTGTAATAACTATGTATAGTGCCAGGTGGGTACTAGAAATATCAGGGGGAACACTTTGTAAAGTATATGATTGTCTAACCACTATGCTGTACACCTGAAACTGATACAAAATAATTTGAATATAAGTTATAATTAAAAATAAATAAAATTATATAAAAATAACTACTGAGCTGGAGAAAAAAAATTAAGTTATGACTATTGTGGAACCAAAATATGAAACATATCAATTAATCAACAGATTTTGGAGTGCCTTTAACCCTGAGGTATATAGAAAGATACATTTTATGAGCAGTGTTAGTGCTTATTCTGAAGAATTTGTCTGAATCATACACT